ATATTTATATTAAAAACCTTTTTGATATTATAAATTGTATTATTTATGAGAACCTAACGCTTAAACGTCCGACTACTGGGACATTTACCTTACATATAACAGAATTCTCGGTTTTTTTTTTAAATAATTAGAGATTGCGATTTACTCTCGCATTCAATTAATTATATTAATTATATAATTTTTGTTTATATTTTTTAAATCTTATTAATAAATATTGTCTTTTTTATATTTCAGCTTTTCAGCTATTCTGTATTAAGAGGGGTTTACAGAGTTTATATTCATTGTTTATTATTATATCTATATCATTGTAGCCATCATTAAATACAAAGAAGAATCAGGACTTGATTATTTTATAAATATGAATACTGATAAAGTATCATGTCCGATATGTACCAAGGAATTCGCTTTTTCTGTTATCGAATCTCATGCTAGCAAGTGTTTATTCCTGAACGAACCTACAAAGGATGAAAGTACAATGTTGTTTAAAGACTCTAGCCCCATGAGTAAAAGAAGCAAACTAAAGCCAGCAAGTGCGAAAAAAACTAATCAAATATCTGTTAAAAGGAAGAGTTCTTTGGACCAGTTTTCTTCCCAAAGTTTCAAGGATGAAGAAGATGCTAAAGATATGCCACAGAAAAGTGTAATTTTTTATTCTAAACTATAATAATTATAGTGTAATAAAATAAATTTGCACAATTACATATAAATTACATACAAAACTGTAGCGCTCAACTTTGTATTTCGTAATATGCTTAATCAAATTTTTCTGCGTTGCAATTTTTCCTATAAAGAAATTCTTATATATTATATAAAAAAAATTTATAGGCAGAAAACGAATGCAAAAAGTTGCGTGGAAACGGACATGTACCCCTCGCAGAACAAATGAGACCTACGTCGCTACTAAACTTTGTAGGCCAAAGACATATCCTAGGACCTCGCACCATAATCTCCGAACTCTTGCAAAAAGGCGAAATACCTAATATGATTCTCTGGGGTCCGCCTGGATGTGGCAAAGTATTATTGCATGTCCTTGGAATTTTCTGTGCGAATGTATATAGGAACATATATTAGTTTTTTTTTCTCTTTTTTTGCAGACGTCTTTGGCTAATGTCATCGCGCACATGTGTAAGAATGATGCTAATCACAAGCTACGATACGTTAAGCTCTCTGCTGCGATGGCCGGTGTCCAGGAGGTAAAGGAAGTCATTAGTATCGCTGGTAATCATGCCAAATATGCGCAGCATACGATAGTGTTCATGGATGAGATACATAGATTCAACAAGATGCAGCAAGATGTGTTTCTGCCGCACGTCGAGTCGGGAATCATTACTTTGATCGGGGCCACGACGGAAAATCCCTCGTTCAGTTTAAACTCTGCGTTGCTGAGTCGATGCAGAGTGATTGTTTTGCACAAATTATCCGTCGCAAATCTGCTATCGATCTTGAAGCGTGCAGTAACTTCGCTGGGAGGTATAATACACGCATCTCCGGATAAAAACGAAAGCACTTTACAAGATATCAGTGAAGAAAACACGCTAGAAAAAAACAAAGTCATCGAGATGGAACCATCCTGCAATACAAAATTCATTATAGATGAACCGACAATAGAGTGGTTAGCTGAAACTTGCGATGGTGATGCTCGAATAGCGCTGGGAGGATTAGAAATGGCAGTACGATGCAAAGCACCGAATGAGAAGGAATTTCTAGACATTGGTCCAGCTATAATAACGCTTGACGACATTAAGGAAAGCTTAAAGAAAACGCATATGTTGTACGACAAGAAAGGCGAGCAACATTACGACATGATTTCTGCGTTACACAAATCTGTCAGAGCTAGCGACGAAAATGCTTCGCTTTATTGGTTGACTAGAATGATCGCCGGCGGTGAGGATCCGGTTTATATCGCGCGAAGATTGGTGAGGATGGCTAGCGAAGATATCGGTTTAGCTGATCCGAAAGCTCTTGGTTAGTAAATTGTTTATTTACGATTTTCGAGCTCACGCACATAAAATACATATTTTACTTTTTAATAATTGGAATTACATCATTGTAAACAGGGTGATTACTAAGTACTCTAAAAGATTTAAGGGGTGATTCCTCACACAAATTCGAGACGAAAACTTCACATGACCATATATGTCCGAAACGACTTAGTTTCAAAGATACAGGATATCAGATTTCAGCCAATCATCGAGTTGTCTATATTGTCTGCAAAGTTGAAAAAAAATTTCCAAAAATGTAAAGTTAAAGGAAAAAAATTTCATCATGACATATCTTGTATTTAAAATTAAGCCGTTTTTGGACATATGAAAGGATAGAAATTTTCAAAGGTTTCTCTATCGCTCGGGGATAGTTTTATTTCTATGTTTTCTTATGTATTTGTCTTCGTAGAAATCAAAATAACCATTATAATAACGCCAGACTTAAGGAAAAATTGGTACATCAAAATAAATGAATAAAATCCTTATTCGCATCATTATAAAATCACTGTCAGTTATGTTTCAATAATTTATTTATGAAATTAATTCCAAATTAGATCAAATGCGCGTAATATTGCGCCACAAAACGTTAATTAGATTATATTTTTCATTATAACATTGTCATCTCGCACTCCAAGTGTTATTCATCATTTGGAGTGGGGGAAATGGTAACCGAGGTTATTCGCATTTAATCCAAATTTTTTTTGGAATTAATTTCATAAATTATTGAAACATAATTGAGTGATTTGGTAACGATGTAAATAAGGATTTTATTCATTTTATTTCGATGTATCAATTTTTCTTGTCTGGCGTAATTATAATGATTATTTTCAGTTTCTACGTAGAAAAACACATAAGAAAACATAGAAATAAAACGATTCCTGAGCGGTAGCGAAATCTTCGAAAATTTCTACTCTCCTTTAAATTTAGTGTGAGAAATCACTCCTTAAATCTTTTAAAGTTTGTTAGTAACCACCTTGTATAATAGATTTGAAGAATGATTAATATTTATGACAAGACATTTAGATTTTACTAGATCTGACAAATATATTCGATAATAAATATTGTGTACAGGAATAGCAATGCACACGATGCACGGGTGCAAAATGATCGGAATGCCGGAATGTGATGTTCTTTTGGCACAATGTACGACATATTTAGCGAGAGCACCAAAATCCAGATTAATGGAAGATGCACTTAGAGCTGCGCAAAAAGTGATAGCTGAGCATAAGGGTCCACAACCAGGAGTTCCTCTGCATTTGAGGAATGCTCCCACAAGACTCATGAAAGATTTGGGTAATTATTTTATTTTTTTTTTATCAATTTGCTCTCGATAAATCAAATAATTATTTTAGAGTATGGTAAGGGATATAATATGATGCACAAGGATGAATCTGGATTAAGCTACCTGCCGGAGGGATTGGAAGATTTAGATTTCTTTGGAGATGATGACGACGATACTTAGAAATGCTGTGGTAAATGCTTCAGTTTAGATATATTTTGTCCATGTATTGTATTATTTTTTATTACAAAAAGGTATTCTTATTATATTTTATAAGTTTTATATTAAAATCTTAGATCTCTCAGGGATTAAAATTTTAAACATAAACGTAAATTTAAGCACATACATATATATATATAAAATATTTTTACTTAGTTATTTTTAATAGTTGTATGTGTATATATATAGGATGTATATAATATTGTAACAGTATTAAACAATTTTTAACAATCGCGCGTTTGTGCGATAAAAAAAAGTGATGCTTTAACTCTGTTGAATAGAAATAAACTTATACATATATATATTTAAGCTTATATTAGCGACAATTTTTTGTTCATATGACAAACCTGATTCATGAGTTTCGATTACTTATAAATGAGCACATTTTTTCCAAATGATCGTTTTATTATTAGCGGGCATATCTACGATTTCTATTAATCTAATATTATTTTCCTCAGCTAATTTTTTCAAATCTGTTACATCCCGCAAACCCCAACTTGGATCCTGCAATTTCAAGGATTCGTTGAAATCTACATTACTCTGCGGAGTGATTTGACCATCAAAAGCGTACGGTCCGTAGGTGATTAGTAACCCATTTGGCTTCAGCAACTGATTCGCATTATTAAATAAACCAATAGTACACTGGTACGGCGAAATATGTATCATGTTCGCATTATATATATATTCTAAACTGTTCGGTTTGAAGTTACCGTTACCCCATAGCCGGTAATCAGTGGTGATGTCAATTCCAATGGGGGTTTTTATATTAGAGTATCCATGCGCGTACGCAGCGATGCTATCCAGAAGTTTTAGATCGTATTCCGAGGGGTAAAATGTAACTTGTGGAAAATGCGGCGCGAAATGTGCCACGTGTTGTCCCGTACCGGAGGATATTTCCAGGAGGATCTGATTTGTGCCAGGTTGGATATATCGTTTTAAAACCGATAATATTGGATCCTTATTACGGTCCGCCGCAGGGTAAATGAGCTTTTTGGCAGCCATAGTGTGTGACCTTGAAGAAATTCAGTTTCACTTCCTATAGAAAGTTTGTAGATGCATATGTTATTACATAATTACCTGCTGTTATATTGCAAAGCGACGTGTATATAGATTTTGTAAAATTTATTAAAATATATCATGTTATTTTTTTATCTTGTATATATCATATTACTTTATATCCCGATTATTTTATTTTAAAGACTTAACTAACTTATGCCACTTTGAAATTAAACAGCTCAAATAAGATGCAAATGCTTGTTATTTTTAAATGTGCACCTCACCTGTGATTAACAGCGTAATGAATAATATTCATTTATATGTATTATGCTTATAGTCGTGGCATCTATAGCAAGAGATTGCACACCCTGAAAAACGCAAATATTTCTTTGTACTATTATATAAAATATTGTATATTTTTATTTTCTTAGGAAATTTATTGCAGTAAATCTTAATCATTGAAACTTTTGATTGGAAAATAATTATCAATGCTTAGGAAACACTCAATTAAGTTAATAGTTCGATCAACTTAAAATATTATAGAATGAAAAAATAAATAGCACATTGATATGATAAAGAATGAAAACAATATTAATTTAATGATAATGGTATTGATATTTATTAATGGATATTTATAATAACAACTAGTTATAATAAAACTAGTTACATTATATATTTACGATATATAATTTTCATTCTTATAGCTTGTCGAAACACATTTACATTCGATTGCTAATCGTCGTTTTATAAATTGATAATATTGTCCTAAAGAAATTGGAGGTGTCATCAAATTATAAATATTTTAATAGGTTTTTGTACAAGATCATCCAAGATATATACACAAAAACGTAATTCCTATATAGAATCCTGAGGGGGTGTGTATCATACATAAGATATCTTTCATGTCAATTATAACAAATTAAACTGTTATTATTTAATTATGATAATAATTTAACATTTCATAATAAGTTGGATTCAACGTTTTTTCTTATCTGAGTCGTCTTTTTCTTTAGATGTTGCTTTTTTCTTCTTCTCTTGACTCTTTTTATTTTTCGATAATTCTGGTATATATACGGAGTGTCCAGTTTTCTTTAAATGCTCAAATAGTTTATTTTTGCTAGAAAACTCGGATGAGCAAGAAACACAGCGATGAGCCAATTCATCCATATTCACAATCGGATCCTTTTTATTTTTGCCCCTGTTCTCTCGTTCCTCTTTCTTAGAATTTTTCTTTGCTTTGTCGGTTTTCAGTCTTTCGTTAATAACACTTGCTTCTTCCATCCCTTCACTTTCTGTTTCCTCTGTTTCTTGTTCCTCTTTACGCGTCTCTTCCTTTCGCAACTGTTTATTTATCTCCACTTTTCTCTGTTGTAACTTTTTTCGTTGTTTTTTCGACAGCCATATTTCCTCGTTAATGCTCTCCGTGTCGTCATCACTAGCAAGTTCAAGCATAGGATTAGGATTCTGAATATTACGTTTTCTCTTCTTCTTTTTCTTCTGACGATTCGGCAATGCGACGTCTTCATCCTGATCAGACATTAATTCGTCCTCGGATGTTATATCATCATCTTCATTTTCCACTTTAGATGAAAATGATGTACTTTCGCCCATCTCTGATGCCGCAGCCAATAGGACATCTCCATAGTTGTTTATCTTCTTTTTGTCGATTGTTGATTGAGAACATTCTGGATTTTCCTCAACGTCCGACGTCAGTTCGGCAGGAGAGAGATTACTGTTATCCTCGTCATCGTTCCGTCTTGAGTCGCTACGAGGAAGATTTAACAAGAAATCGGGCATCTGTGAATCTGTTGCTAACCTGGGTCCATTTAACGAAACTGATTCTTCTTTTGTACTCGAATCGCTTTCCCGAGAACTACTGTGGAGGTCCTCGTCCTCGACGTCGTTCGGTGTAACGTACTTGAGTGCGCTGACATTTTCTTTATGTTTTTTTGAATTCTCATGATTTGTAAAGGTCTTGTGCGTTTGGAAAACCTTATCACAGGCGATACAGTAAAACGCTTCTGGATTACTATTTCTTGTTGTTACTTTCCTGTCATCTGTTCCAAATTCTGCCGTTAGATTCGCCTCGATATTCTTCAGCTCTGCTTCCATGTTCGAGAACTTGGACCATTCAGATTCGATCTGATCTCGCAATAATTTCTGCCTCTCCAATAGATGTGCCTTCCTTCGCTCCTCTGCCTTGCGAAAGTTCTCGCGAGCGCGTTCAGCTAGCTTCGCTGCATATGCTTGTACTCGCTTGTCGCGTTTGCGGACAAAGGCAACCAAATTCCGCACCTGCTCATTCCTCTCACGCCTCGCCTTATCGCGCACTTTCTTGTTCTCTTTCTCGGCAATTCTGAGAATGCGTCGATTCCGCATTTCACGTATATCGTACGGATCCAGCCAAGCGTAGGATCGCTTGGTGCTGTAACTCTGCCAGTAGGCGTAGAAATCGCCTACCACATCTTCGTATGAACTCTGGGAGTCGCCGAAGCTGGGAACCTCTTCATCAGACTCGCCGTCTTTGGCAAACTCGGCGTCCTCCGCTGCCAATTGCTCAAAAACGTTTCTGTAGATGGTATAGAAACCCTTCTCATCGTCTCCGTAACCTTTAAAGCATGAGAGAGAGAAATATAGGAAAAGATTAATGGAGTCATCCTTGTAATCCTCTCCGATACCACCCTTCAGGATGGCCTCTCGATGATTGTCGTACCAAGCACGTTCGTGGGAATCGCTCAATATCTCCCACGCCTGTTGGATAAGCTGGAACTGTTCTTTAGCTTCATCTGGGCTTTCGAGATTCTTGTCTGGATGCCATTTCAACGCTAGTTTCCTGTATGCCTTTTTTATTTCATCATCAGGAGCATCTCTTGCAACTCCTAATACTTCATAGTGGCACTTCATTGTGTTGTCGTACGTATGATTATATACATCTGTTGGACACAATTTCCTTACTTAAACCACAAACTGTGCACTAAAAGAATTTAAATTATTAAATTATGAAATCAAACAGCTTCTAATGTAACTCAACAGTTAGTTTGATTAGAAATGATTTACGAGCGCACTTTTGCTTTGTTATACAAATATAAAAATGTAAAACAACATATGAAAGTATGAAGGTAAAGCTATACAAGGTAGACCATTTTAATCAATACACGCGAATATCTCGTCAGGTAAGCAAGATAGCGAAAAATGTTTCAGACCGAAGTTGTATGGGTTTGAGGAGGACATAAGGTGGTATCATTAGTTTGACCTTGAATAGTTGCTTGAAGATCACGTGAAGGTCACTTTGAATTTCTTAAATGGAAACCCTTATTTTTCATTGGATATTCTTGTAACTTACTTCAAGAGCTTTCCAAAACACTATAATAAAATATTTTTTCATCAAGTACTTTTTTAGTTATGATGCTCGAAAGTTACAGTACCTCTGGCATTTAGTATTATCCAAGGTGTCCGACCGACAGCTAAAATCTCTTAAATGTTGTTTAGGACCATGAACTGGAGAACATTTATCAAAATCGAGGCCATTGGAAGTTGTACATCTTATTTTCATTTTTACGTTAAAATGATTTTTTAGTGTAAAAATGAAAATAAGAAGAACAATGGCCTTGATCTTAACAAATGTTATCTAGTTCATGATCTTAAACAACATTTAACAGGTTTAGCTGTCTGTATTTTAGCTGTCGGTCGGACACCTTGGATAATGCTAAATCCCGGAGGTATTGTAACTTTCGAACATCATAACTAAAAAAGTACTTGATGAAAAAATATTTTATTATAGTGTTTTGGAAAGCTCTCGAAGTAAGCTACAAGAATATACAATGAAAAATAAGGGTTTCCATCTAAGAAGTTGAAGGTAATCTTCACGTGACCTTCAAGCAACTATGAATAGTCAAGGTTAAACTAATGACACCATCTTATGTCCTCCTCAAAGCTATACAACTTTGGTCTGAAACATTTTTCGCTATTTTGCTTACCTGACGAAATATTCGCATGTATTGATTAAAATGGCCTACCTGCATATTAAGAAACCTCATTGTGTTATAAATGCAAATAGAATACAATCTAATTTAATTTTTAAAATTCCCTACAACAATACAGTTCTCTGAAGGATGTCTTTAGGACATAGAACATTCTCTGGACAGGTTTAGAACATCCCTTGTTGAATTATGTTACGGATCTTATAGCAGATTTCCAGACAGTGATTCTTTATTCACTTTAAAATCCACTTTTAAAATTTTATCAATAAGAATCATGTTATTTATGATATAATCCATGTTCTACCTTGAAATACCTTAAAGTACCTTAAAATACCTCCAATTTCCAATTCTAATCTTAATAGCTCCTGTCTTTCTTCTTATATCGGAGACGATATAGCCAACGATTATGTCATTAAATACTAATAATGAATGACGATTCAAGATTCAACCTGGTAAACTCTATCAAATCGAGAGAAATGACAAGGGTGACGATCTCGTAAATTATTTCGCAACAAGAAATAATTAAGCATTTAATAATTAAGCATTTCGGTAATTGTTTAGAATCCCTCCTCATTCTTCCGATTTTGATAAAATTAGGCTCATTCGACGCGTTTCTGTATGAAATGAAAGAATCTGACCGAAAAAAATGCAACACTGCCCCGCAAAGCGAGATATTAATAATTTTTTTTTTGGAGTGTTCCTCGGATGAGGAAAAAAAAACACCTTCAACCCTAAAATGAGTATAAAGTTGATGGCTATTCAGGTTAGGAAGTCTATCGGCCATGAAAAAGACCCTTCTCTGTCTTGCTATGTGTGAAAAGTTGTAAACTCGTATGGAAAATGGAATCGTTTATGGGTTTCCAACTTGGCACGCAAAGCGAGATTTAATTTTATAAAATTGACTTTAGTTTTATGGGAAGGGGGAGGCAGGAACCCTTTGCACATATGTCATGTACTTTGCGTTTGCGATTGTAGAGGATTTCGTCCCTCTCCCCTTCCATCTAAGGCGGGGCTTGAATCAACTTTAATCAACTTTAATCAAATTTAATCATTACGACGACGTCATTAAATTCAGATAAATTAAGCGTGAGATCTCTAGTCCCCGTAGAGACTATCACGAGATCTTTGATCCAAAATCAATGCATGGTACTGTGATTCTTTATTTGGATCGGAAAACCAAAAAGGGGATTAAAAAGAAGAAATCAACTTTAATCACTAATATCACTTCGCGGAACAGTGTCGTATTTTTTCGGCTAAATTCTTTCGTTTCGTGTAGAAACACGTCGAATAAGCCTAATTATATCAAATTCGGAGGTGAAGAGAAAATTTTAAACAATTATCAGCATTTCCTTTCCGTCTTATTACTATTTCAAAGAAAATTTGCGTGTACAAAATATATGTATCAATATAGCGATCACGATTTTTATCATCCATTCCAATTACTAATTATTGTTGGTCGTCAGTAGAAAAGAACTGGAGCTTACCTAAAAAGATTTTGGACAACTGATGCGCAATCGATGTAAAATAATCAAAATTACAATTACTGAAGATGATGACGGTTGTGCATTTAATGCATAATAACTATAATTATTATATTATATGTTTATCTCAATAAGATATTCCCTAATGACTGGCAATGACTGGCAATGACTGGGAAGTGGGGAAGCAGTGATGCAAACCAAAGTAGAGATGGGCGATTCGAATCGATCTTTTGAAAAATCGATCTTTTTGGTCTCGATTTTCGGTTTTTTGGATCGATTTTCGTGTCTCGGTTATGTCTGGTTTATGCTTCACCCTTATGGCCCGTCTACAATACACGTAGTAAGCTTGGTTCAAGAAGTTAGGGTGAAGTCCCATCAGGCATGTTTGCCGCGTATCGCGTAAGCGCATAACCAATCGATAATCAGTAAAACGCGAAACTATAACAGCAGATCGCTTCTGATTGGTTACGCGGTTATGCGATACGCGATAAATACACCTCATGGGACTCCACCCTAAAGCCTTGTGTCCACGATGCTAGAAATTGGTCCGAGATCTCGGAGAGAGAAAGAATTAACCAATCACATTTAAACAATTTAGTCACATGATCAATGCGATTGGTCAATTCTTTCTTCATCCGAGATCTCGGACGGATTTCTAGCATCGTGGACACTGGGCTTAAGAGTAAAGGAGCCTACAGACCAGAGCGGCGTAGCGGTGAGCGGCGAGCGGTAGCCCAATAAAAGCCATGCTTCACTAATGATGTCACGCAAAAGCGTGGCTCTCATTGGGCTACCGCTCGTCGCTCACCGCTGCGCCGCTCTGGTCTGTAAGCTCCTTAAGAAATTGACCAATCACAATCGAATGTGAGAAGAATAATCGACTGTGATTGGCCAATTTTTTACTCTTAAGCCCATGGCACATACAAAAACGTAAGGCCGTAACACGTAGCAGTAAAGAAATCGTTATGCGTCGTCTACAATGGCAGTATCAGTAATGGATGAGGCTGTAAGAGTAAGAAATTGACCAATCACAGTTGAATGTAAGAAGGATAATCGATTGTGATTGGTCAATTTTTTACTCTTACAGCCTCATTCAATTGATACTGCCATTGTAGAACACGCATTAGATTAGATTCGCTACTGGCCTTACAGTCTCTATCGTGATTGGCCAATTCGCTTACTGATTATGTCTTACGGCCTTACGTTTTTGTATGTGTCATGAGCTTTACTTCTTAAACCAAGCTTATTCGCATATTAAGCTGGTTCTACATTGATCGCATCGCAGCGTCGCAAGCGTGTCGCAAGCGTTGCAGTCCAATCAGAGTCGAGCTAGCTTGACGTTGATTGAACCGCAACGCTTGCAACGCTGCGATGCGATTAATGTAGAACCAGTTTTAAGCTAGCTCGACTCTGATTGGATCATAACGCTTGCGACACGCTTGCGACATTGCGATGCGACTAATATAGAACCAGGATAGCGATCATGTAACTTTTTCGCTAGAACGGAAATGTGAAAAATGAAAATTTTTTGTATGAATGTGTGTATATGTACGAACATATATAGGGTGTCCCAAAAAGGTCGGGACACCTAAATATCTCGGGAAATATAAGTTTTACAGAAAGTGCGTGTAAACGTAGTCATATGCCCGTATTCATAGTAAGGCCTTATATTTAGTCCGGATCTACAATAAGCGTTTTAAGCCTTAAGTTGTAAGAATTTGACCAATTACAGTCGAATTCGAGGGGAATAATCGACTATGATTCGTCCATTTCTTATGGCTTAAGGCTTAAAACTCTATTGTAGATCCGGGGTTAATGGCCGCAGCACAGACTCTTGCATAACACATAGTGCATAAGGGAATCGACCAATCGAAATTCTTCTTTTCCATGGAATGAAAGGGGAGGAAAGGAAAGATTCTGATTAGTTGATTCGCTTATGCACTATGCGTTATGCATTATGCAAGAGTCTGTGCTGCGGCCTTAAGGCTTCCTTAAATTTATCTTCAGATACTCAACGAATTATTTCATTGGCTACTGAGCATCTAAAGATAAATTTAAGGAAGCCTTAAGTATAAGGTCTGACTATGAATACGGGCAATACGTTCGTCAAAAGTCAAGAAATCCAATCTACAAAACTCTACAAACCTTATTCGGTTAAAAAACAACTTATTCTTCGCACAAAATCTCATAATTCTGGCAATTCCGTACCATTCCGTACATTGCATGCGCATAAAATAAAAACTTGGGGATAAAAATCGGCGAAACAAACGTAAAATAGGTTAAACCAATCACGAGTGCTCCGCCAATTCCGCATTGCGCATATGTTCCGTACCATGGGACCGCGCCATCAGTTTAAACGTCAAGTTTAATTCAAAAAAAAGTTAATCTTAAATCTAGTATGTATGCTAATTTATAAAAGTAAAAAATAATGAAATATAAAGAAATTAATTAAATAATTCTTTATTGGATTTTGTAGCTTGTGTCTGTTCTAAACATTTTCGTTCTACACAATTCAAAGATTGATCCCCCGTTAGAAATTATTCAAGATGGCGAGATTGAGTCAAGGCCATGGCACACATCTTCCGTATAACCAAGAAGACTAGAGACCAAGAGAGTCAACTCGCGTGGTGGGGGTGAGTCAAAAAACGTCCGCGGCTATTCACACGATGTGCAGCGGCACTGCGCATTGTGTGAAAGTTCGATATAAGAGCGACAAAGTGACGATTATAGAACGATAGAGCGACGACTATATAGAGCGACAGAGAGGACTAATGAAGCGCAAGAGTGGGGGAAGTTATCCGTCGCCACTTTTTGCCTCACCCCCACTACCGCTATTGGCACGAGTTGACTCTCCTGGTTCTAGTCTTCTTGCGTATAACACAAGAAGACTAGAACCAGGAGAGTCAACTCGTGCCAATAGCGGTAGTGGGGG